AACATCTCCCTTGATCATTTGGACCATTCAATTGAGCCAAATTCCAAGCCTAGCCCAATCTAGACCCAAGTCTAGCCCAACATGCCCAAATTGACCAAATTTCAAAAATCCTCCAAATTGACCCTCCAATTGAACTCAAAACCATTTTAATCTTTCACCAAAAATCTTCATTACAATCATATACACAATGTTGATCAATCAATTGGGCTCAAGGTCATGAATAGCCTAGCCCAAACCCAAGTTTTGGTCATTTGAACCCACATTAGACCCATGCACTAAAGTTAGCCTAACCACCCGAAAGCCACCAAATTAATAACTCCACGGTCATTAGTTGGACCCTAGTGACCAGTCTAAACTCCATAAAACCACCTAAGCTAACTCATGGACCAAAGGTCCCCTAAATTAAGGGATTTGGTTTCCAAAATTGCTTAAGCTTAAGATTTTTTTGCCAAAACAAAGCCCAAACCCATTTAATTGTTGCGACATATTCCTCTGAGGTCCGTGAGCCCTCTGGCCACCTCCCCTGGCCTGGCCGGCCGGGCTAGTGGCCGGAAAACATCAAAATCGTGAGCCACCCCATGGAATCAAACCCATTTCAAACCTAGAGGCCACCTCATCCAAATTAAATGTTAGAACCTCTCTGCCTTCCACCTAAGCATCACTTTTCACCCCCTCATTGGCCATGGAAGCAAGCCTTAAGCCATTTTATAAAAAGTTCACCTCCACGGCCATGGACGTAGTGCTGAAAATTTTCTCAGAGAGACCCCTCCAAATTGCTCCAAGAGACTCTTTGAGACCTCCTCAGCTCAAGCCAACCAATTTCCGCCACTGATTCCCACTGTGGAAGCTCAATTTTGAGCTCAAACTTCTGCGAAAAATCAGGACAGAGCTCAACACACCTCCAAAGTCCATCAAACTCAAATTAAATTCACCCACACCTTCACCACAGTGAAAAAAGGAAAAGCCCCATCAAATCCCCTTTCCATAGAGAACCTAACATAGCTCTAGACCAACACCTGAAATCGACTTTGGTCGATGTTGACCTCACTTTTGGTTGAGGTCTAGAA